CAGAGTCCTGGCAGGAGCTTTATTAAGCTCCCGACGGCGGCAGCTCCTCCCCTCGAAGCCCCAACATCTTCTTAAAATCTTCCAGTGTTGGGGCATTCACAACTTCTGGAGGCTTGTTCCACTGATTAATTGTTCTAACTGTCAGGAAATTTCTCCTCAGTTCTAAGTTGCTTCTCTCCTTGATTAGTTTCCACCCATTGCTTCTTCTTCTACCCTCAGGTGCCTTGGAGAATAGTTTGACTCCCTCTTCTCTGTGGCAACCCCTGAGATATCGGAAGACTGCTATCATGTCTCCCCTAGTCCTTCTTTCTCTTAAACTAGACATACCCAGTTCCTGCAATCGTTCTTCATATGTTTTAGTCTCCAGCCCCCTAATTATTTACATTATGACCATTGCTGTCCTGGGAACTGCTGGCTCCCATCACATCTCTCTCAGTTTGGCAGCCCACTCTGGAACGCTTGCTTGGATTCCTATGCTCAGCACATCAATGGATGGAGGCATCCAGTTCTAGGACTTCCAGCCATATTAGGATGTTGAGGGGGACATTTTCTCATGCAAATCACTGTGAATGTTACCAGCCCCTGGAGTCTTTGGCTCCATTAATTCCTGTATTTTTCAAAGTATAAGACGTACCGGAGTATAAGACACACAAAGATTTTGAAGAGGCAATTTTTTTAAAAAAAGGGTTTGCACTCTGCAGACCTCCCCAAAATGGCCCATTTTTCATGAAAACGGGCTGGGTTTTTGTCCAAAAAAGAGCATGCATAGCCTTTAGGAGGCTTATAGAGTGCTCCTGGGGGCTGGGGGGGGGGCAAAAACAAGCAAAAAACGACCCGTTTTTTGCTCATTTCTGCCCTCCCCAGCCCCCAGGAGCACTCTGCAAGTCTCCTAAAGACTATGCACGGCTATTTTGGTGAAGGGCAGGGTTTCGGGAAGCCAAAAATGCTGTATTCAGTGTATAAGACGCACCCAGATTTTCAGCCTCTTTTTTGAGGGGAAAAAAAGGTGTGTCTTATACTCCGAAAAATATGGTACTAATCATCAATTTAGTTATATAGGTCTATGGAGATTCTCAGTCATCCAGGTCATGGTTGTCCCAAAGGTGCTTTTTTCAACTGGACTTTCCAACTGGACTTTGGGACATTAATTACACAAGCTTTTGTGGGGTACAGTCCAACTTATATCTGCCCATAAATGTTACCAATCCATCAGTGGTAGGTTCCTAACCACTTGTGCCCACACACGATGCTTCTGCGTATGTAGGGGTGGACAGAGCCTACCGCCACCATTACTACCGGTTTGTCCGATCTGGGCCGAACCGAGAGCAACCCACCTCTGCAATCCATGCATTTTAGGATCAATTCAGAGATTATATTCAACAGGCTCAAATCAGAAATCACGATCAATCTTTTTTTTAAAAAAAAAACTGTTATTCCAAATAAGCTTGATATATTCAGGAGAAACAGTCTTCCTCAAGGGTCTATTCATCATTTGTATTTAAAAAAATGTTTTTGATAAGCCACATTTGCTGAACTATTTTTTAGGCCACCACTAATATTGCAAGTCACAGATTTGAGCCTTCTAAAGATGTTAAGATGCCTTTTATGACCTCATCAACAAGAATGATCTCCTCAAGTAAGTCCGGTTGAAATTAAGGGGACAAAGTTGGACAGAAATTATAACATCTCCCTGTCAATATTTGTATACATTATCACCAAACAGACTAATCATTTTTTGCCAAGTAATTTCTTCAGTGTGTATTGTGCCAAAATGGCT